CCGCGCCTCCACCGACACGAGCGGCGCCGCGCCCGCCGCGCCCGCGCTGCCGCCCGCCAGCCAGTAGCTCACGCGCCCGTTGGCGCCCGCGTCCGCGTCCCGCGCCTGCACGCGCAGCACCAGCGCGCCCGCCGCGTTGTTCTCCGCCACGTACGCGCTGTACGCCGCCTCCTCGAACACCGGCGCGTTGTCGTTCACGTCCGACACCTCCAGCACCAGCTCCGCGCTGCTCCACAGCGCCGGCCTGCCCCGGTCCCGGGCCACCACCGTCACGCGGTGCTCGGACGCCTGCTCTCGGTCCAGCGTGCCCGCCGTCACCACCTTGTACGAGCCACCCGACGACGCCACTATCGACAGCGGCGCCTCTCCCGACAGCTCGCATGACACCTGGCCGTTCTCACCCGAGTCTCTGTCGCGCACTTTCAACACGGCCACCACGGTGCCAGTCGGGGCATCCTCGGGCACAGGACTCGACAGCGAGAGTATCATGACTTCAGGGGCGTTGTCGTTCTCGTCCGTGATATCGATTTGAACCTTGCAGTGAGCCGTTAACCCACCTCCGTCCATCGCTTCCAGACCAAAGATGTATTTATTCTTCTCCTCGAAATCGAGGGTACCTGCTGTTCTGACCTCACCGCTGTTGCTGTCTAGAGTGAAAAAAGCACGGATGCTGTCCGGGACGTTGCTGAATGCATAGGAGACCCGCCCATTGGAGCCCGTATCTGCATCTGTCGCCTGTACCCTCAGCACCAGAGACCCCACTAAAAGATTCTCTGCTACTCTCTGCTCATAGACTCTTCTGCTGAACACGGGCGGGTTGTCATTTGCATCAGTAATGTTTGCGCGAACTTGGACAGTACCGGATCTCGCGGGCTCCCCGCCATCCACTGCCGTCAGGACCAGTTCAAAGAAGTTCTGCTTCTCCCGGTCCAGAGTCCTGTCCAGCACTAATTCCGGCTGATTCCTTCCGTCGGGGTTTTCTCTCACGGCCAAAGAGAAGAACGGGTTGCTGGTGAGCTGGTAAGTCAGCAGCGAGTTGCTTCCTGCGTCCTCATCCCGGGCCATCTCCAGCGGAAAACGAGCACCAGGAAGGATCCATTCACCGATCTCGAGCTCCAGAGCAGTCTTACTGAAGGTCGGGGAGTTGTCGTTCACATCCTCGATCGCCACCTCTACTTGGAAAACGTTCAGCGGGTTGTGTACCAGTGCCTCGAAGCTGACGGAGCAGATAGCCGACTCGCCGCACATCTCCTCCCGGTCCAGCCTCTCGTTCACGTACAGGTTCCCGTTCTCCTCACTCACCGTGAAGTATTGCTTCTCCTCGCTCAGGCGCAGCTTGCGCGCCGGCAGCTCGTCCGCGCTGAGCCCCAGGTCCCGCGCCAGCGGCCCCACGAGCGAGCCTCTGCCCAGCTCCTCGGGGATGGCGTAGCGGAGCCGCTCGGCCGCCGCCCGGCCCCACACGCACAGCAGCACC